GATTCAGTAGAGCACGCGGCAATAATGCCTAATATTCCCTGTTTACGACGACATGACACCTTTCGAACCAAGATAATACCACGCAGTATTGTCTAATGTCTTCCGTATACTGCGCTATTAAACGGCGGGCTCCTGCTGACTTTCTTTGTTTAAACCGCTATCTATAGTGTATGCTATCGGCTACTCTTTAAGGTATTCTAAAGGGTATCCTAAAACGAGGCTATTCTATGAGGTATATTTAAGGTACAAGGAGGGTATGTCACAAAGGTGGTCTTCTGTAACGTATTCTACTACAGCACAAGGTATTTCAGATGGTATTCTTTTGGGCATTCTGTCAGGTATTCTGTAGGCTACTCCATAAGGTAATGTGCAAAAGGTTGTAAAGTAGTTCTACGGCTATTCTTCTTGGTTCCTGCTTTTCTCTTCAGAATCCCTTACCCAAAAGCTAAAATTCAATTCGGGACTTCTCACATTTTGGGCTCCGACTGGTTTTTCCATATTTAAAATCCCTAGCTATAGGGCGCTTTATAGGGTATTCTCTGGGGGATTCAAAAAGGTATCTTATAAGGTATTCTATAGATATTCTATATGGCGTACATAAAGTATATAGGCGGGATCATATATAGGCGGTCTTATTTCAGGTATTCTACAGGGTATTCCAGATGGTATTCTATAGGGTATGTGTAGGATATATCGAAGGAGTTGCATAACGCATTCGACAAGGTAATCTAAAAGGTATTCGATATAAGTTATTCCACAAGGTTTTGCAGAATATGTTTTATAGGGTCTGTATAGGGGGTATTTTATACGGTATTATGCTCTGTATACGCATCCCTTACGAGATAGGCTTCGATTTGTTCAAGGATTTCCTAAATCCTGGATTCCGCATTTCCTTCATATGAGCCCTTTACGCAGTAAGCTACAATCACGAAAGCTCTCGGTGCGGGAGCTTCGTTCATTACCTCACGAAGTGAGCTTGGGGTTATCAGGGGGGGAGGGGGGTGTGTTGGGGGGGGGTGGGGGTGGGGGCATTTTGGCGGGTTTTTTCGGCTATCCCCCACATGGAGTTGGGAAAACCGTCGTTGCCAAATGAATCTTTTTTGGGCTAGATTTCCGTCTCTTTGGTAAATGCTTTTTTCGGACGTCCGAGGGAGAAATGGGGCTCCTCTGATGCTGCTGATGCTGGCCTGGGTGTGCTGGATGATGCTGCTGATGTTGGCCGTGTCGTGTCATGTTGTGCGAGAAGGGGGTGAGTGTCCGGAATTGATGTTGCTCTCTGCATCTTGAGGTTTGACGTTTCTAAATGCCGTTGCGTGCCTGGACGAACCTGGCCTGGATCCACCCTTTGATTTTTGGCTCGATTCGCTCTGCAATGGACAGGGCTGGTGCAGGCTAGACAACAAGCAGTTTGCACATTAAAGTTGAGACTTGCCAAAACAATGCAAGCTCGTTCCTGACCAGGGTAGCAACGCAGGAAGCGTGAAAGGCCAGACAATACAATAACATTGCCAGGATTTTCTGCTGGACAATCCTGACCAGGTTAGCGACGCTAGACTAGACAGGAGGAATAGAAGCGTGGAAAGTAAGACGATACGAGAACATTACCAGAATCTGCTGCTGGGCGTTGCTGGTGCATGCGCTTACCTTCCGCGTGCCGAGAGCAGGCGTGCCGAGGAAGTACTTGTCAGATTATGTTGTGACATTGCTGTAGCGCGTACCTTGGAAGTTTGCACCTGTTGTGCCTCCTGCAAGGCGTGGCAAGACTTGGCGGGCCCAGCCAGTGGGCCAGGCAGAAGAGAAGGCATGTGGGGTTTGCAGCGCTGTCTAAGCATCGGATCTATGCGGTTCCTGCGATCCAGTATGGAAGCTTCTCCGCTCGTGGAGTGAAATGCTGCCGTGCTTTCATGTCATTCTTTCGAACAGCAAAAGCTTTGGCAAGCCTTGATGCCCGGCTACTCAATTCCTCTTGTACTGGGATGGGGCTCGACAACACTTATGTGCGTTCCACCGAATTTATGGTAGATCAAAAACGCTCCCGTAGTTGAATGTGCATTGATGCCCGGTTACCGACTGGCCTTATAGTAGCGTGGACACTCCAGTTGCCTCTTGTACTGGGATGGGGCTCGACAACACTTACGTGCGCTCCACCGAATTTATGCTAGACCTCGGAGTGGAATCCCGAGGACGATCCGAGCGTCTGGCTCCAGGCGTTGTTAGATGACATGCAGCAGTCGCCTTCCGATCGTTAAGTTACGGCAGAAGCACCATGACACGTTTCCGGGAGCGTTTTTGATCCAACATCGCCTCCCGGAATTTAGCAAGAGCGTTTTTGATCCAACATCGCCTCCCGGAATTAAGCATGCACAGACCACAAACCTCGGCAAGTCTGAGTACCGGAACTCCGTGACACCCACCCATGCTCCACCTAGTTTATGTTAGATCAAAAACGCCCCCGCCCATGACATGTTTCCAAATTGGACCTAGCTCGCCCTTGTGAATTGAACGTGCGCCGACATGCATACCTCGGCAATTCCTAGTGATACGACTACACACCACGCCACACGCAGCACCAAATTGAAGTTAAATGATTGCAAACTTCTCATTGAGCTACGACGCATGCATCATGGCATGTTTCCGGGAGCGCTCCTGATCCGACATGTCCTCCCTGACTTGATGTACCGACGTGCATACCTCGGCAATTCCGAATAATGAAATTACGCAGCGGGCATGTTGCTGGGAACAGTCTTGATCTGACATGTTCTACCTGCCTTGCGCGTCCACGGACCACAAACGTACGAGACCGCCGCTTGTTTGAATGCAGGTCGACCCGCCAACGCCATTGCTCCTGTTACTCTCATCGTGGCCTCAAGAAACTGATTGCAAACTTCGTTGAGCTACCGCACAAGCGCCGTGGCGTGTTTCCGGGAGCGGTTTTGATCCAACATCACCTCCCGGAATTGAACATACTGAAACCACGAACCTCGACAATTCTGAGTGCTAAGCTCCGTGCACCCGCCCAGGCCCCACCTAGTTTATGTTAGCTCAAAAATGCCCCCGCCCATGCCATGTTTAGGGCTTAGAGTTTGTCTTTTCAGTGTTAGACTCTTGAAGGTGCCTCCCTGCGGCCGTCGCCTCGATTGGAACTTCCACTTGCTTGCTGGACAAATGTCGTGTGCAGTTTCTGACGGAGCATCAGTTGTTCTGATGGAACCAGTGTGGTCCTCCCAGTCATGTTCTTGCATATGCCGGTGCAATGCGAGCCACAATGCATGCTGCACAACGTTTGCAAGCTCCGTGGCGCATTTGTATTGCAATGCAGCCCTCTAGGATGTTCGCCTGCCACGTGCAGCCCTCTACAACATTTGTTTAATTTGTAACTTCCCAAACCCTAAACCCTGACCCCGGAAAAATCTTCTTCTTTAAACCTAAACCCTAACGACAAGGACACACCAACCAAACCAGCATGGGCCTCCGTTGGAAGCCATGGAAGCACAACTGCGGCGATATATATCTAATGCTCGGACTGCAAGCCATGTGGCTGTATTATAAAAACTTTCTTTTCATGACTCCACTGATGTTAACAAACGTACAACTGTCAGGTTCTCTGACGCGTCGGGCGCTACGTGAACACTTCAGCTGGCGGCTGCTCTCCAAGAATGGTGCTGCCATTAGGCTCCGTCAGAGTACAGAACATCGCACATTCGTATCTAGCTTCTTGCCCCTCAGGACATGCCGACGGCCCAACCAGCTTTGTGCAAGAAACAGGTTCGACAGTTCTACCAACTGGCGACCGCTAGACTACACATGCTGCATCGCTGGCTCGCGACTCGTCTCGAGAAATGTATGCGCGCTCCTGCTTTGCAGGCATTCCGTTGCTTCTTCTTCTTCAGCCAAGGACGGCAAGCAAGGCCACCCTACTTCCTCTGCCACAAGCATCGCGGATTTACGACGTCCCCTTGTGGGCTTTACAGCGATTGCAAACCTGCAAAGTTAACAATGTGTCCTGATCGCACCTGTTTGTTGTGCATTTAACTGCGCTACATAATACGTTCAAAACATCAACCTGCTACCTAGGTTTTCCGTATAGCAGATCGTTCTTCCCCGTACTGATACGGATACGGCTGGCGACGGCTTTCTTTTGCAACCGCCGTCCTGAACATTGGCTTACTTCGCTTTGTCGCAGTTACGCAGGACCAGCGCAATACTTGCAATGTCTAGTCCAGTTGCGCACCACGTTGAGCCCTGCCAGGAATCCTTCCAGCTACTCCTTCGCGCATATGGCGGTCCGGCCCAAGCGTCCGGATACATAAGCTGGCAAGGACTAGACACTAGCAAACTGCTGGCCGTGGTTTCCCGGCTTTACACAGACGGGTCCATCGATGTCCGCGCCTACAAGCTTCTTAGTTGCCTTATCTCACACTTCCTGTTCGTGCTGCTCGAGAATGCAGCTTCATAGAATCTCCAGCCCATTCTGATACCTTCTGGGCACTACAAGACAGCACAGACATGTGCACGCCTTGCCACAACTTGCGTTAAAGACTTCGTGAAGGCTCGTTATGTTGCTCTAACTGCCTCATTGTTGCTGCCTAGCTCTGTCTGTGCCGCCCACACATTCACCTTGCACTGCGAGGTGCAGCAGGACGAGTCTTCTGCTGTGTATGCCTGGCTCGACGCAAGCAACTTCAAGTTTGCAGCCTACTTGGCACGACACTAAGTCCTGTGCCCTCACGCAACGTCGCGTGCTCCTTTACAGTACAGATTCGACTCCCCGCGATGAGGTAAACACAGACCTCGCCGTCCTGGGATTTCGCGACTCCGACGACGTGCCCTTGCTCGTGGGCAGCGGCTGTGCATGGCTCAGCCGGAAACCGTCGACGAACGAGTTGAGGACCCTTTGTTGCCCTGCCTTTTCACGGTATAAGTTTAGGTTTTAGGGTCCTGACGAGGACTCTTCATGCCAAAGCAAAGAATCACGAGATGTTCGTCATCGCACTTCGCACTCTGGGCCTGGACTTGGCTGATTGGACGATTCATGGCACCGAACACTGGCTCTGTGAGACCCGCAAAGTCTTTCAGAATCGTTGCCCCTTGTTTGCGCAACATACTTTTTGGGCGCCTTAGCTAATCGTACCTTCCACAGCAAATACCACTCCTTGCTAGGTCTGCCTCTGTACAAGCCCCGGGCGACCAACGAAGCTGCACGCAGCGTTGTGCGTCGCTTCCTGTGCCACATGCGCCGTGCCCGAGTACGTCGCACACAGGCACGGATTAACAATTTCAGTGCCAGTCTGACTTTTGTCCAACGACTCGACACATGCTGGTTTACTTTCGAGCAGAAATTCGCATCGCTTTTCTTTTCTCGCTAGTCTTCTTGGTCCATGTGCCACATCAACAGGACTATCGGCCTCAAGCTGCACCAAAACGCAGACGGTGATCTGGTGGAAGGCCTGAAACTTTAAACCCTAAATCCTAAACCTTAAACTCTAAACCCTTCACCCTAAGCTCTAAACCTTACACCGTGTCCCGGCATTACCTCAAGAATACCATATAAGTCATGCTGGATCGCAAAGCCATGTACGCTTAGTCCTTCGTGCTGGGTGGACGTGCCTGCCTGCGCCTTGAAGCCTAGTGTCACGGATACAGCAATCCTTCCAAAACCTCCAAGGAATTGGAGCCTCCAACTACATAATCCCCCCTACAAATCTTATTGCGAGTGCTCACGGCAGAGCATACTCATGAGGCACTTAACTTTCCGACAGACCTTTGACCCTCCGCAGTGAGTTCTTGCATAAAGCCCTAGAGCCCAACACACCAAAGCTCTAAACGCCCCTGAATTCAACTTTCGAGCCTCGGGCCAAGTGCAAAGCAATCACCTCGTGGCAAGTACGGCAAGACATCCTCCACAGTCTCGAACAGCCACGCAGGCGTGAGTCGTGCTTGGAGTCTGCTGTGCGAAACGAACCTCCCAAACCCTAGGCCCTAAAAACCCATGGTCCAAAACACGTGCCACATGGCTAGGATTCGCTTCGTTTGACATCCAGAATGGGGCAGTTGCTTTACAAATCTTCTGCCTGCAAAGCAGATATTCTGGCCTGTCGCAGAACAGCTTCCTGACCATTCATAGCTTCGACTCGCATTTTGGCAGGTTCTCCATGACCTTTGAGTTCAGCTTGAGATCGACAGATTTTCTGCTACTTGAAACACTCAGGATTGCAAATGCAGTCCCGCCTTTACACAGCCTCTCGATAGCGCATCTCGATCTGCGCTGGAGCCCCTTGGCAGAAAATCGAAGGCACAATCGTACGGTTTTATGCGGAACTGTTCCTGTTTTTATGCTAGAGCTGCAAGGAACGGTCTCCTCGCAACAAGCTCCACAGACGGCAGCCTTCAGTGAAACTGCTCGATTTCGGCATAGACTCCCTCAGCTCCATCAGCCAAGGAAAAAGAAAGCCTCTTGCATGTTCAGCTGCCGTATCCCCCGCCGTGCCTAAATTAGAGCTTTCGTCCCAGCCCGTGGCTCTCAAGTTCAACTGGGGAACTCTCAGATCTTGGGCTCATCCTGGTTCTCACCATATAAATGTTTTGTTGTAAGATGTTCTATAGGTATAATTTTGCAGTCTATAAGTCTATACAGGTGTTATTATAGAAAGTGTTCTATAGGCTATAGGTTATTCAACAAGGTATATAGAGGGTGTTTTGCAAGGTATTGCAGTATTTTATATGAATTTCTTTGTACAGTGTTTCGAAAAGGTGTTCTGCGAGATATTCTACAGGCTATTCTCCTTTGTTGCTCATTTCTTGCACAGAAATCCCTTGCTCAATAAGTTACAATCTTGGGCTCGTCCTGATTCCCCCTACATAAACCCTTCTCTATGGGGCTTCTTTCGGGTATCCGGGTATCCCAAAGGGGGTTCTGAAGGGTCTGTATAAGATATACGAGGAGTATCATGTGAGGGGTTTCTAAAAGGCATTCTAGCGAGTATTCCAGATGGTGTTTTCAAAGGTTGACATTAGGGTACATAGAGGTAAAACAAGGTGTTCTGTGGGGCATGCTATAGGGTGGCTATGGGGTATTCCATAAGGTATTGTCTAAAGGTATTCTATAGGCTAAGGGGTATTCAATAAGGCATATGCAAAGTATATAGATATATTCTATTGGTGTTACTTCGGGTATTCTATATGAATTTCTTGAAATGTGTTAGAAGGGGTCTGCTACAAGGTAGTTTAAAGGCCATTCTTCTGCTAGTAGGTTCCTGATTCCTTTCATAAGGGTCCGTTGCTCAATAAGCTACAAGTCAACTGGAAATTGTCAGATTTGGGGCTCCGACTGATGTTCCATATTCAAAATCCTTATGTACAGGGTACTCCATAAAGGAGTTTCAGAAGTATCCTATAACAAGGTACTCTCTTAGTCTATAGGGTATTTTATAACTACGGTTTTTATGTGTATATAAGGTATACAGAGGGTATTATACAAGCGGTCTTCAAGGCACTCTATAAAGTATTCTATAGTTTAGAGGCTGAGCGGTATTCAATAATGTAAACACAAAGTATATAGGGGGTGGTGGGTATTCAATACAGTATCGTTTAGGGAATACGGAATTTCTTTAAGGTTTGTGTCATACTTTGTCTGGGGGTGTATTGTGTGATATCATGCTATTTTTTCGCATACAAGTATACATGTGAGCGCATATGGATGTGAATTATGTTGCGCTCTGTGGCTCATTTCTTGCTGATGAGGTTTGGTATGCACTGAATTCTGACCTCCGGCTGAAGTTTCGTCGGAATGCATTTGGGGCAGACGCGAACTCAGACTGTGGACATGCTGATGCTGACGATAGCCAGGCAAGGTTTGTGGGTGCACTTGAGTGTTTTCTGCCGAGTCCGCCGACGGCTCCTGGGCGCGTCGACCCCGACTGCTCATGGCTGCAGGACACTGCAGAGATTGTAGCTAGCTGCCGGGACAGCCCTTGATGATACGCGCCATGCATGCAGGATACACCGAAGCCAGAAAAACAGACACTTTTATCGAGAGCTTAAAGAAAGCGAAGACGAAGCCGCCGCACTGGCAAACCCCGGCTCGCTTCACCTGCGAGGGCAGCTGCAATCATACCACGAGTTACACGCAGAACATGCAGAGCTGATGCCCTGAGCACATGGATCTGCGGAGCCTGAAGAGCCTGAACCACAGCTGACAGAACTGCGTCTGGAGTTGAACCCTAGCATTCTTAGAGGCAGTAAGGTGAACCAACTTCGTGAGCTCAACGAGAGAGTAGAGAGTTATAAGTGGGGCTGTTTGGGCAAACCAGCTCCAGTTCACAATGTTCATGCTGCAGCTTCGCACACTCTAAACAGACAACTGGGATCAGGTGCGCACTTGCAGAGCTTACATCAGCCAGCTGTGAACGTGATAGTTATTGGGTCATCTTTCAGTCAGGAAGGCCCAACTGAAAGGATGTCTGACCTAAGTGGGAGTTGCAGTGCGAGGGTCCAGGGGCGATATTCTGCGATTTGTCCCATTCCTCGAGCTCGTTGCAGGTGCTTCCAGCAGATCCAGACGGAGAGACACGCACCCATCTCGGGTTTCTGAATGCGTTGTGCACGCGCCTGCTGCATTGAATGATTTGGACAGTCCGTTCCTCGGGCTAGTTCGGCGTAGGAGCCTAACTCTGAGGCTTGCTACAAGATAAGGGTTGACGTCCTGGGCTTGAGGTCCCTGGCCCACGATTACCTCGTAGTCACATCGGGTGCTATGCCGTGATGCAGGTATCTGGAAGCATGGGCGGGAAGCAATGAGAACGTGGAGCTCGAAGTCGTGCACGGGCCTCGGAGTGCTCCACAGCTTTTGTGTCGAGCGCACAGGAGGTTGCCTAGCTCATGCGTGGAGGCCGTTCTGGAAGTCGCAGAGTAGAAAGCGCGACAAGAAGGTCTTACGCCTCTATGACAGCAGAACAACCAGGCCTGCGCGGATGCGTACACCGCGATGCGCTGCGCTGCCCTGGGAATGCAGGTTTCTGGAGTCGTCGGACCAGAACCCGAGCTTCCAGACAGCGACGAAGGCTCCCTGCTCGGACCAACTCGGCACAGTCTGCTTGAGTGGATCTTGAGTTCCGGTGCCAGTTCGATGGAGAATGCAAAGACTACATGAAGAGGATGGAGCAGCTCCTTCTGTTTCAGGTGTGGAGTCATTGCAGAATCTCATCCTCATCACGTACTGTTCGCAGTTCGTTTATCATGTGTTTCGGCGCGTGTGTAGCAAGAGCTCCGGCAGTTGACAAGTTCATCTGGTCTGCCGTTTGGGATCAAGTTTTGTGCCTGTTTCTCGAGTCGCTTTCGCAATGTGGGCGGCTCAGCATGTGGAGCAGCGGCACTTCGGGAGCGAGGAAGCTTGTGAAGTTCACGAGTGTGCAGGCCGCAGACTTTCAAGAACAGATGCGGCTCCTCCTCGTGGAGACCTGATGCCGTTGCTTTGAAGCAGAAGCGAGAGACAGCGCTGCAATGTTCCTGCAGATCCCCGAGTGCTTGACTTAAGGCTGCGGTAATTGTCGGCTGCGCTTTGGCAACCGTTTCTGCAGCAAGAGCAGTAAATGCCGCCTGGACGAAGGATCTCTTGGTTGCATGTTGCTGCATGGTGAGCTACTATTTCCTGCATTCCTTCCGTCCAGCTCTCTGCAGCTTCTGTTACATCTGTCACTTGCCTAGGATTGCAGCTTCGTGGCACCTGGCCGAACATCACTGGGACGACCAGCTGCTCGCTCAGCGGACCTAGGGAGAACTGAACCAGGACAGGAGGCAGATGCAAGATGCAGTTTGTGAGGCCCTGTTGAAAAGCACCCTAGGCTTTGGCACATTCCGGTCATCCGGTGCCTTCGCATGACAGGGTGTCTGCAATCTGCACGACCGATATCAGACGCACGAAACCTTCGGCATCCTAGGTGCTCCAGAGGACGTCTTTCTCAGTCTCGAAAGGGCAGGCCATGCTTGCCCTGACGGGTGCGGCATCGGCGTGTGCGCTACGCCTTAGAGGCACTGTTCCAAGCATGAATGGGTCACAATTTCATCACACGTTACATCATGGAGCCGTGGGAGCAATCTGCAGCGGAGGAGTGCGAGGCAAACAGATGGCGCTGCGAGCGCGGGGTGGTGCAGCTTGGTGTGTACTGAGTCTGCGGTCATGGTGGGCATTGTGAGCTTCCAACTTATTGGACCAAGGACCAAGACTACTACGAGGTCCTGGGTGTGAGCAAGAACTGTTCGGAAAGGCTTGTTTGCTTCGTGAATGCATGTCTGTGTCTTCCACACTACGCAGAGGAAAAGATGTGAAACGATCGATTCTGTTGAATGCAACAAAGCATACGTGGAGACGGATCGACCCTACAGGCAATGAGCACGACATATGCTGGCTGGTGCAGCGTGCAAATCGGCAGAAGCTGAGAGAAGCACGGAAATCACGAAAAACCAGCACCGGTCATCAGTAGAATTGCAAAGATAGCAGAGCGCGGCTGGTTCGCAGCAGACGGTGTCAGGGAGACGTGCACAACAGTCACGCCTTGGGAACCGGCCGTCGAGTATGGCTGCACTACATCCGGGGCAGATCCCTGGAACGGGTTGGAGGTATGGAGAGAGTAAAGCGGGGGAGGGAGGGCAGGCAGAAAATCAAGCGAAACAGGATTCTTGCGTGTTCAAGGCTGAGGGCTCGAAAAAGAGGAGGGCCAGAGACAAAGGCAGACGCTTTGGTTTGCAATCCTACTCGGCTACGCCATGCCAAGATGCAAAGGGACTTTGGCGGAGTGTTGGCACTGTCAAGCATCACTCCCTGACAGGTAGCTGCATGTTGAAGGTAGAAAGGTCTTTTAGGCGTGCTTGGGATGTGGTCTTCGCCTGCTGGCCTGGAACGCTTGCATGCCGTTGGCCTGTCTCTTGGCCGGCCATCGGGGTGAGTGGAAGAGTTGCCCAAGAAGCCAGGGACCTCAAGACTGCCTTCCGCAAGCTCGCGCGGCAATGGCACCCGGTGGTGGACTAAGACGTCATCTTAGGGTGACCTTTGCTATCGGCGTTGCCCCGACCATGGTCGACTTGCGCGTTTCTCAGGATGTGAATAAGGAGCCCGGCGCGCAAGAGAAGTTCCAGAGCATAGCGAAAGCCTACGAGGCGCCCTCTGTCTTTTGCAGGCCGAAGTCACGGCAGGCTGCATGCAGACGCAAACTGGAGAGCCAGAAGATCCTTTACGTGCTTGAGGCGTCTGAAATTAAAGGATTGAGTCAAATGCTCTTGCCTTGGTCAGGTCTTGTCCGACCCGCAGAAGAGACAGATGTATGATCAGTGCCTTTGTTGCATTGAGACAGAGCCTGGTCGTTTTATGTCGTTTTGATGTGTTGACATAGATATAGATATAAGTACAGACAGACGGACGGACAGCCGGAGACAGCGAGAGACAGTGGTTGGGCGTGCCTAAGGCCTGAGGGTCGCAAAGCCCTGCAGAAAGAAAGACAGAAAGAAAGAAGGAAAGAAAGACCGAAAGAGACAGACTGAGGCAGGCAGACAGACTTACTGTCAGTCAGGCAGGCAGGCAGGCATGCAGACATGCAGACATACAGACACATAGACATGTAAATTGTGTGTATGTGTATAGTGTATATAGACACATGCATGTATGTATGTATGTATGCATGTATGCATGTATGCATGTACGCATGTATGCATGTATGCATGTATGCATCTATGCATGTATGCTTGTATGCTTGTATGCTTGTATGTATGTATGTATGTATGTATGTATGTATGTATGTATGTACGCCAATGTGCGCATGTATGTATTTTTTGCACATCTAAACCGATATCTGTCTCTATAATTCTATCGTTGTCTATATATCTATATCTTTTAGCTACATCGATATTTGTATATCTATCTCTATATCTTTATCCACATCCACATGTTTTTTTTTTTTGCTGTCTCTGGGTCTGTCTCTATATCCATCTCTGTCCCCATCTTCATCCCGCTTCATGCATCTCCATTTCTATCCATGTATCTATCTGTCTACCTACCTATCTATCTATCGATCTAGCTACCGAACTATCTGTCTGTTTATCTATCCAACTGTCTATCTATCCATCGGTCTTGCCATTTGGCGATCTAGCCATCTAGAGTCTAGAGTCCAGCTGGCTAGCTAGCTTGCTAGCTCACTGTGTAGCTACATATCGAAATTCGGGTCGTAAACCCTCAACCATCACCCACAATCTTGTCAATCTTGCTCCAGATGTGCCGAGGTTCGGAGAAGCAGGCCCGTTTGCAGCAGGTTCAGAATCTTGTGTTGGCTCCATGATCTGCCTCGCTAGGCGTCAATGGCATGGGTGGAGCTGGTGGCATGGGTGGTATGGGTGGCATGGGTCTGGAGGAGCTCTTGAGTCAAATGCTCCTTGCAGGCAACGGTTTTTCTGAGGACGTCTTCGGATTGTTGCATCCATGGTGCTGAGGTTTGGTGGAATGGGTGGCATGGGCGGCATGGGTGGCATGGGAGGTATGGGAGGCCGGCGCCAACGACAGTCCGGACCGCAGAAGGGCGCAGATCTGCACCCCGTCACAACGAAAAGCATGTTGAGTTCGAGCAGGACGCATGACACGAGAATCTGTGTGGTTTACAGTTTACAGGCTTCCGACCTAATGGGCCATGATAAGCCACAGCTGCTTATTAGCCCAGGCAGCTCGAGGTTACGATCCCCTTCTTGCGCGGATCCTAGAGCAGTTTGCCACGTGACCGCCCTGTCACAATGTTCAAGACCGATTGTATTCATTGCATGAGACACTTTATCTTTGTTTAACCCGAAAGGAACGACTACTCGACCGGTTCGTGCAACCCCAACTTTGACCTTTTTTTGCCGTCTGTGTGATACGCCCAATGAAAGAGGTTGCTCTCATTTTGCTTACCTCGTAGATGACCGAAATGGCTATCCTGCAGATTGTAGACAAGGACTGATCTTCATCAGCAAGACGAGCCAGCTGAGGACAGCCTGCTTTGGCGGTGAAGTGAAGGTGGACATCAGACGCGAAGAGCCGCCTGGCTGGTAGTTTTGTGCAGCGCCGGGCCACTTCTCTCCTTCCTTGCAGCAGGGTGTGCTCCACCTGCTCTGGTACTGGCACCAAACCGGGTGCAAGTCGTCTGCTTATTGAACTTCAGCTCGCAAGCTGGCGCTGCTTTGCCCTTCAACCAGGCCAGACGCAGTGTCGACAATGTGGTGGGACTGGCACCGTTGCTGTGATGCATTTAACTGAACATGAATTGAGTGTCGCAAGCAGTCTTGTCGCATTCATCTGCCTTCGCCCGTTATCCATCAAGCGACGCAGTGCGCTCGAGCGAGAAAGCAGGGCCTTCTTTGAGCCGAGGTGCTGCAAGTCATGCAGACTCCCTTCGGTGTCATGCAGACACAGCAGGCCGCTGTCTCAGATTGGCCTATACGATATTTCGTCCTTTGGAAGTGCACTGCTGCAAATTAAAAGCGTCCGGCCTCACCCCATGTAAGGTATGCCCGGCATGCAACGGTTCTGGAGTGGACCCTTCCAGTCTTTGCGGTTCCTGCGGGGGCAAGGCCCGCGATAGAATGAGCCGTGTCGGTCAAAGCTGGCGCTTCTGGCAGGGCACAACACCAGCTCGGCAGGAAGTCACCGTCAAGGTACGTATACACAGATACACATCATCAGTTTTTGTTCTAGCAACACTTGGACTTCAGGTGCCGGCAGGTTGCAATACTGGTCCGTGTCCCAGACGTGTGCGATGCGCAGTGTAGGCAGTTAAAGCGAAGCCCCGGTGCAAAGCACTGGTGTGAAAGGCAACCAACTTCGTCTCAGAGGTGAAGGTGACAAAGGACCGCATCATGTCTGCTAGTCGATGGTTCTTTTTCTCTCAAGGGACAGTGTCACAGATGTGTGACCAGGTGCGCAAGGACACGACCACAGCCACTGTTCGATTGGTAGCCGAATCTTGTTGCTTTTTGCTCTGTGAGGCCGTCCTGGTCCAAAAATAATGGCCCGCTAGACCAGGCACAGAAACTCCCTAGATGCTATCAGTGAGGAACAGCAGGAGTACCGCATGCTCAGCTGGCATCGTCTGATTCCGCAACCGTAGCATATCATCCTATGCAGTATTGCGAGCTGTATGTGGTTTGTGCTTCCTGGCATTCTGCACATCCTTCGCGGCGAGGATCCAAGAAGGGTCCCTCCGGAGATCTATATATTGGCGTGAAAGTCGAGTGGCCCGGCATGCAAGAGGTCGGAACCTGAGGGGTTCGACACGCGTCGCCACGAATCAAGGAACTCCAACGACTTCCACCGCGAAGACTTTGATATTTATACTGAGAGCACCGTAGACGTGTTTGACGCCATCCTGGGAACCTCCATCAAGGCAGCCGGGCAGGGTCTGGCTTTACCATGGGCTTGGAGTGAAGCTGTTAACCCCCTGCTGCGTACGCAGGTGAAGACCATTGATGGAGACGCTGAGATCAAGGTGCCGAAAGGCCCAGACGTGGCCAGAGATAGGTCCGCACAGATACGGGCACTCACCGACTTGCTCAGGTACTCAGCCTGAAACACGTCTTCGAATCAGAGGCCGAGGTGTGCCAAAGCTCGGCAAGCCTCAGGATCGCTCGGGCGGCGAAGTTTTCAAGATGGTTTGGGGGTCGTGTTCCAGAAGACATGCGTGGCGATCGCATGACGCAAGGCTTGTTGTGGAAATGAGGCGTGAATGATCATGACTGTAAATATTGGAACAGTGTAACCTGCAGTCCTTGGGGCTTCGTGCCTTCGGAAACACAATTTTTCCTTTTGAGGCTGCACGTTTGAAGCCCTCTTAATTACAATCAGTTCTGTTAGTCCAAAACGAGTCTTGCTGTAGTGGCAGGAGCGCGGTGATCACTACATCACCGTGAAGGTGAACATTCCCAGGAATTTATCCTCAGATGACGAGGAGAAAGTGATGGAACTTCGTGGCAGATCAAACTGAGTGCAATCTTCAAGCGAGCCCGCTTCGGTGACTTGCAGATACTTGCAGTATATCACTATCAGTATATATTTTACGTGCACACGAACAGCGAGCTCGCTTCTTTCTATGCTTCTTAAAGGCAGGTACCTGCTCTGTGCTGTCAGCAGAAGGCCGATGAGGATATGTCTCAAACTCGATTCACGAATTCACAATCACTGCAGTAGCCGTAGCCAATCGTGAATTTGAGACATGTCTGCCAGAAGCTCGCTCAAGGAGCGAGGCATGTGGCCAAGCTGAGATACAGTCTCCAGAGGTCGCAGCCGTCCGAAAGTATGGGCAACTCTACGTACATACTGCTGTGATCTTGCAAACGCTGGCCTAGAGGCCGCTGTCACCCTTTTCTTGGGCTGGGAGGGCTGTAGAGGAAGACAAAATGAGCTGTTCGCAATACCACATCCCTCTCGGCCCAGTCAGACGCACAAATCTGCACGTCGAGGCCAGGATTCTTTCAGATTTTCCAGCTGCTACGTCACCGGTTGCCATGGAGTTCGTGCGCTACCATGCGCGTGCTTCGCGAAAGAAACCGCAGATTATGGCCTGGAGTTTGGCTGTGCTTTCTGATTCTTGAACAGCTCACCGCGCCTGCCCCCCTCCCCAATTTTTCAGTAACCACCGCCAGAAGCAGCACCGGCATCACCACCGCCACGAGAGCCATGACTTGATCGTAGCTGTGACAACAACGGACGATTGCGGTTGTGGCCCTACCACGGCTACTATGATGATGATGATGATCATCATCATCACCATCACCATCAACGTCATGCTCACCGGCATCATCACCGTCATAGTCATCGTCATCGTCATCATCATCACCATCGCCATCGCCATCGCCATCGCCATCGCCATCATCATCATCATCATCATGATGATGATCATCATCATCACCATCATCATCCTCATCACCACCATCAACATCATCACCATCAACATCATCATCATCAGCATCATCATCATCACCACCATCATCATCGTCATCATCATCATCATCGTCATCATCATCATCGTCCTCATCATCCTCGTCATCATCATCATCATCATCGTCATCGTCCATCCTGATCCTTCTCATCATCATCGACATCATCGCAATTATCTGGTGTAGCAGCAAGATCAACACACACCAGTGTCCGTGCCGAAAATTAGCCGAAATTGCCTCTAGCTCAGGCTTCCGAAGCTATTGAACCTTTCTTCGCTAGCTTTCCTTGACGTGCGGTGATCTGCCTGCAATGACAGGGCTTCGAGAAAGAAGCAGATGTCCCGGATGGAGGGCAATCAGCACCTTGATGCAACGAAGTCGCACAGTTTATGTCTCCGGCCTGAGCCACGCCGCGCCACCCTCAAGCTAATCTGGCAATCCGACTTGACAGTCATCGTCTGAAAGATGTCTTGCGCTAGTGATCCCAGGCAAAGACAATGAGGACCGGAACGGAATCGCGCTTCCTGAAAGCACAGCCATCATCCACAGCACAAGAATGGGCTAGGGCCCCGGGCCTTATGAAGGTGTCTCCTTGAGTCAGGAAAGGACGTGTGGCAGTTCGTGCCAAGAACTCACATGGTCTGTCGTTCAGGAAAAATTCCGCGTGCGAAAGGATCGTGCTTCGGCTGCACAGCTTCTGTTGAATTGGTGAGGTTGCGCTTGGTAGCTCACTGCAAGTCATCTCCCTGTTTTCGTAGCACCTTGCAATTTCAGGTTCCGCTGCTCATGAGGCTCCCTGTAGGACCACGAATTCTTGGGGGCCTGGTAACCCTGTGTATGGCTGTGGATGGGCTTTTGTGGTGGTACGACGCAGTAGCCTCTTTGATGTTGACATGCGTCGATTGTTGCAGAGTTGTTGCTGAGTTGAGCCTGTTCCATGCATAATTTTGGTCTTGGCTTGGCTTCCATTGGCTTGCTTGTGGCATCCGCAGGTCCGGCTGATGCGGGTGGGGTGAACTGTGAATTTTGCCCCATTCCGGAGTTCTCAGGACAAACGTAAGCACTGGGGTCGGAGCCAGCGGCGAAGTTATGAAGTATGTTCTTTCGCAAGCGTTTTGGCAGAGCTTAGCGTACTCTCCTGCAGCAACGACTGCTTCAAGGCTGAGCGCTCCGGGCAGTCTGCCCTGTGGCATACGGGCAGGCTTATGCCTTTCCAAGAGACCCAACCTTCCAAGAGCACCCGAGGCTCCAAAGAACAAGCCATTAGTCGACAGCGCGCACCATGCTGCGGTGGGAGCACTATTGGTACCCCAGAACATGCACAGCACCATCATGTGCCGGGAACACACGTCTCACCCCAACGTGTGCATGGAGCTGTATGGAGCTGTGGTGGGAGCTCGATTCTTCATCTGCACAGCCTTGTGGCAGGAGCACGAGTTGGGCTCAGTGGACTGTGAAGCCACCATACTCGCGGCACTTGATTTCCGCCAAGTTCCTGATCTGCTTGAATGCCGGGACTTTGGCGACTTCGGGTGATTTCAGTCCAAAGAGAGCCCTGACTTTGGGCGGAGCGCGACCTCCATCCAAAGACACAACAGAAACAAGCACGGCACTGTGGCAGGAATTCGCTTCATCAAGTTCGGGAGCACCAAAAAATTGATTTTACAGCGATCTTATCTCTCGACCCTGAGCAGGAACCCTTGCATGCGTAGTTTACCGCATTGTTTTGGGAAGGATTCATGACAGGCGATGTGAGATCCTTGCGAGTTTGCTGCCAGACTTGAGAAAGATCGCACAGATAAAGTTACGAAGCAAGCGAGGAGACATTCAATACCTGAGAGTTGTTCTAAACCCTTGGCTCTTGACCGTAGACTAACAGCGCACTTTAATATGTTGATGCAGGTTTAGGACCTGCTACAAAACCGGCACGGCGCAAGCGCGCGCAAGGGCGAGTGCAAGGGCGAGAAGCAGTGTAAGAAGCTACAAGTACCTAGGAGTTGGGAAAGTGTTTAAGAGCGCGCGCGAAGCGATTTTCGACAATAAAGGACAACATCCACCCAGTTCAGCAGATTAGGAAATAGCACGCGGCGCTCCCAGACTGCAACGCCGGTAACAGGCCCAATGAGCTCGCATTCCCGATTTACATCACTGCCATGGCCATCTCTGTTTCCGAGCTGGTGCGGCTCTCGCCCAGGCCTGCTGGGTGCAGGCTTCCAGGCACCCGTGCACACGGTGCCGATCATCCCGTACCTGCAGACGGACCCGCCCCAACGAAATGCGCACTGCTCAGCCAGCTGTGAGTGGTTGAAAAGGAGTTGGACGACGAGCTGGGTAAGACCCTGGAGCCTGACAAGCCAGAGCCGAAGGAGGTCGCGCCAGCGTGTCGGTTTTGGAGCTCCATACCGGCCACATGATATCCTGGTCCCGGCCATCTTTCCCTGACAAGAATTTAGAATGGAGTCGGTGGTGTTCGCCATCATGAAATTAGGGTTGCAGAGAAGGCCTCTACACTCTACACGACACGCGGGGTAGTGCAAGTCTTGCCGGTAGCTTTTTCGAATATGTGTTGCACAGTACTTGCGGAGCCAGGCCACTGGCAAAGATCCCAGCGGCAGGGCCCTTAACACGGCAGATAGCTGAAATGTCATGCACGTCCCCCACGTCCCCCTCATCTCGATTTATGTTTCAGCTTGTCAGGCAAGGATGTGCCCGGGTCTCAGTTGAGGCCAGACCGAAGGCCCCGAGGGGAAGGAAAGAGACCATGTCAAAGAAATCTTCCTGAAGCTTCCTGCGACTGAGGCCCCAGATATCGCTGGTTTTCCCCGAACTCGCAATGGACTTATTTGGCAGCAATGTTTGCAGAGATGTGCTGTCCGGCTTGGATGTCGTCTCGACTGATTCATGAGCTCAGTCATTACGTCGTCTGCCGTGCGTGCAAAGCAGACATCTGGAAGTCTTGCAAGGAGGATGATTACGTCCTTCTCCCGGATGTGGTGCGAGACTGAGGGGCGACATTCAAGCGCTTTTTCTCTCGGCGGTGTTTCGTCTAAGCATCCTCGTTGGCCACGACCGCTGGGCAACTGAAGGTTATCCGGTTGCGGAATATTGATGAGGACAAGGATGAAGGGTTCTCACCTCAGAGTTCTTGCTGGACGCAGAATTCATGAATCATGCTACAGCACCCACCCTTCACCAGGATTGCATGCCTCTCTCTTCCTTACAGCGGGAGCAAGTTGCCGAAGGAGGTGTCGAAGATGATGCAGCAGGCACGGGTGATGCTGAGCATTCACGAATACAGAAGACTTGATAGTAGTAGTAGTAGTAGTAGTAGTAGTAGTAGCAGTAGCAGTAGCAGTAGTGGTAGTAGTAGTAGTAGTAGTAGTAGTAGTAGTAGTAGGAGTAGGAGTAGGAGTAGGTAGGAGTAGGAGTAGGAGTA